CCTTGAACTATAATGACCCCTACATCGTAACATAGCCTTCCAACAACGGCTCATGTATGCTGATTTAAAGGCAATTAGAAACTCAGATCGTGTACCGAGACTCCCTTCAGATCGTTTACAGAGACTCCTTTCAGCTTGTGTATAAATAATGACTTCAATCCATCTGGAGAGATCCGCTTCTGTTCGTCTACAGATAGATACTCCTTTCAGCTACAGAGATTCTCTTCAGAGATTCCCTATAACGACTTCGTCCTCCTAGTCTACAAATGCACGCTTCAGCCCGTCTACAGAGACTACCTCCTGCTAGTCTATAAAGACTTCCGGGTGATCGTACACACAGACTTCCTCCTGTTCGTCTATGAAGACGCCCTTTTCAAGCTTGCTATAATGACTACCTTTAGCTCGCCACTCAGCCCTTGTCCATGAGCTCATCCATATAAAGATTACTTCGATCTCAGCCTCTATAAAGACATCCTGTCATTGAACGTATGAGAAGCTTTAAAGACAATACGCTTCAGTCGTTTACTTCGAGACTCCCTTCAATTCGGTTTTAAAAACACCTTTCAGTTATGTACAGAGACTCCCTTCAGCTCGTCTATAAAAAATCCCTTCAGATCGTCTGTAAAGATTCTCTTCAGCTCTATATAATGGATCCCTTCAGCTTATCTATATGGCATCCATCATCCCTTCACTAAAGACCCTCTTGATCTTCATGTCTACAAAGTCTTTTTTTCTTCTGCATTATGGGTCTTCTGGTCCTCTCTCTCGCTCTCTCTCTCTCTCTTTCAAGCCAACATTGTTATGTGCGGTATAAACCTTGTGTAACGAATTAATGCAATTGGATTCTAAATTACCAACACATACGTTGACTTTACTTTGCAATTACTTAACAACTCAACTCTAATAAATGTTTTCTTAGCACCCATGCCATTTTTATGGCAATCGAACCACCTACCCCAAACACACACATTGCAATGGGCGGTAGATACATTCACTTGTACCAAGAGTTTTATGAGGATTTTCCTCATACATACCAAGGATGTTGAATATATAAAGTCCTTTGTCGTGTATCAAAAGTAGATTTAAGCCGACATTGTTGCATTTTCATGTTCAGAGGATTGGTAGTAAATTCAGTCACTCACGAACAGACACACGCACACACATACACAAACCGTTACAATCATACCACACTCACACACACGAAGTCTTATAAAACATCCTTTATACCCCCTTTTTAAAAATGCAAGGACAAGCATCTTGTTGGCGCTACACGCATAGAGAAGAGATAGAATACGGGACGGGTTGGCAGCCAGTGTGCCAGCGACAACTAGCTAAAGCAGCTCTATAAAATTTACGATTATTACAATGTTAACTTGTATGAAAGGGCGTTAATATGCTGTATGTATGTGGTTTGGCTAATGAAACTTGAAAAACAGTGTTTGTTGTTACGATGGTGGGTTGCTTTTTTTCTATTTCTTCTTCTTCTTGTGCTTCTCTACTAATAGTCATTTTCTTCATTGTTGTTATTGCTGTTGGCTTTTTTACTTGTATTTCATTAGCAGTGGGCTGTTGTTTTTTTAGTAGTAGGCTTATAACATAATGAAATTAAGAGGTTTCTGGTGTAAGTACTTTTAGTATGGGTTACACACATACTCGTAAATTGTTCCCAACAGCCAACCACTTGAAGGCCACTCCCGGAAGAATGCAGTTAGAAGGTATTAAATTTCCGCTAGAATGCATTTTAATATAATGAGTTTTTAAAAAAATATGACTATATAACCTTAGCCGCTAATCTAGATCAAGAAAATGTGATTGTTTGTTTTGTGGGGGGTTTTCTCTGTATTATGGCGTTAACAAATTGTATAGCCTGGAGGAATTTAAATAGCCTGGAGGAATTTAAATAAATGGAAATTAGGGTAATAAAAAAATAAGAGGGTGGAATTTATGATTAGAAGGATTAAGGGTGAGGACATCAAGGTCCACTTTTCCTTAATAAAATATTTATATTTTGTATCTAAAAACTAGTAGAGTAAAAAGCCGGATGAAACCGACTATATAATACCATACAGCACTTTGGTTACATAAATGATGTTCCTGTATGTTTAGTCCTTCTTAAGAATATTTGTCGTGTCACTTCTGCTTATCCATAAAGAATACCTCCAACCCTTTTCTACAGACGAATCCCAGTTCTTCTATTTACATTCTTCTTCTGGTATATAAATATTCCCTTAAAATATTCTATAAAGACGATTTCCAAATCCTCTAAAAAGACTATAGAGGTTTCGCTCAGTTCGTCTTCAAGGACTCCCTCTGCTCTTCTATCAAGACTTCCTTCAGGACGTTTATAAATACTCCAGTTCGCTCGTCTATAGAGACTACCTTAAGCTCGTATATAAAGACCCCTTCAGCTTGTGTACTAAACTTCATTCGGTTCTCTAAAGACTCCCTTCAATTTTTTGTAAACGCTCCCTGCTCCTCGTTTATTAGGATTTCCTTCAGCTTGTCCATAAACACTTCCTTCGGCTCATCCATAAAAACTCCCTTCTATAAAGACTACCTTCAGGTCGTATAAAAAGACTCCTTCAGGATTTGTCGTTATTTAAGGGGACCCCCCATTCTCGGGGTCAAATTTTTTGATTTAATTCGAATCTACACTAATTCAAGAATGTCCCTACAAAATTTCAAGTGAAAATCTCAAGAACTCTTGAAGATATAACCTATTTTTTGTGTCAGCATCAAATGACGGCTAAAGGGCTTCTCAAACTTTAAACGCGTTTTTCTCTAAACATTTTTTTTGCGAATGGCGGGCACGATAACTCAAAAACTAATAACCCAATCAAATTTTTACACGTTTCTCTGTGAGTGTATAGCTGTCGTATGAACTAGGATAAAGCCAATCGGCGAAGATCTTCCTTTTTATTTAACTTGGTTTTTGGTCAAAAATCGGCGATTTTCCAAAAATATTTTTTTCAAAGGTCCGCCATTTTGTTAATTTTAGAGCGAAGTCATACGAGAGCCAGACATGTACTCTTTCTAACACCGTTGGAAGTTTCGGATTCCAATGTTCCAGTGAGGAGTTATCATGCCCGCCATCAAAACTAAGGACTTTTCTTTAAGGGGACCCCCCCATTCTCGGGGTCAAAATTTTTCTTGATATAATTCGAATCTACACTAATTAAAGAATGTCCCTACAAAATTTCAAGTGAAAATCTCAAGAACTTTTGAAGATATAGCCGATTTATTGTGTCAGCATCAAGTGACGGCTGAAGGGCTTCTCAAACTTTAAACGAGTTTTTCTCTAAACATTTTTTTTGCGAATGGCGGGCACGATAACTCAAAAACTAATAATCCAATCGGTTCCAAATTTTGCAACGTTCCTCTGGGAGTGTGTAGCTCTCGTATGAACTAGGATAAAGCCAATCGGTGAAGATCTTCCTTATTTTTTAACTTCGTTTTTGGTAAAAAATCGGCGATTTTCCAAAAATATTTTTTCTAAGGTCCACCATTTTGTTAATTTTAGAGCGAAGTCTATAATCCTAGTTCATACGAGAGCCAGACATGTACTCTTTCTAACACCGTTGGAATTTTCGGATTCCGATGTTCCAGTGAGGAGTTATCATGCCCGCCATCAAAAATAAGGACTTTTCTTTAATTGCAAAAAACAACAACAAAACAATAACAAAAATTTTTTGAAAATTATTTTTCTTCTCTTTTAAATCTTCAATTATATATGTGCAAAGTTACAAACCTTAACAAGCATTGGTATTGATTTACCAGCCTATTGAAAATCTTGAAAAATTAAAATCGAGAATGGGGGGGGGGTTCCCTTAAACCAATTTTAGTTAAACCAAATGTCTATAAAGTCTTCCTTCAGCTCGTCCATATAGACGCCCTCCAACTCGTCAAAAGAGTTCTTCATTATACATGACTCCCTTCAGCTCGTTATAAAGACTCCCTTCAGCTCGTTGTAAAGACTCCCTTCAGCTCGTCTATAAGGACTCCCTTCAAATCGTCTATAAAGCTAGTCGTCTATAAAGACTCCCTTCAGCTCGTCTATAAAGACTCCCTTCAGATCGTCTATAAAGACTCCCTTCAGATCTGAAGTCTATAAAAACTCGTCTATAGAGAGTCACTGCTTTATCTCGTCTATAGAGACTTCCATTCAATTCTTCCATTCAAGACTTCCTCTTCAATTTTAAATACTTCGTCCTGAAATATCCCTCATGTCGCCTCTAATCAATCCATGTCGATTTCAGCAAAGCATAATACACGTTATTCTAAACACAGTATGGTATTCTATGCAAAGTTTCGTCTCAATTGAACAGACCTTTGGAAATTGGTGCATCATTTCCATAAAATCGAACGAAAGTATATATGGGTTGCTTGGGCCAATTTGTATCTCATTCCTATTATAAATACAACCACTCCGTTGTTTACAAATATAGGTGGGCATAACGTTAGACAGACGGACTTGTATAAATCCTCTAAGAAAATTATTCTATGTATATTCTCAAAAGTACCTATGGATATACCTCGTTTCCTTTTCCTTGTTACAAACAAACCACAACAACGTTCAATTTTGACGTGAAACGACACTTCATTGTTGTTTCAGACATACAATTTGACATTTCCGAATCCTTCATCACCATTTAACATGAACTGACAATTTCGCATATATAATTTCCCCAACAATTACAACATAATATTAAATATTTATATCTTCTTTATTGTAACAATTTCCTTTTGTTATTTTCTTTCTTCTTCTCTTTTTAAATATATGTGTATGTATGATGACATTTCAACGCATCTGCTCCGCGCTGATTATCCTCGCAAAAATTGTAACTGTCATCATCTGAATTTGACAACAAATATGTTCGGGTGTCGGCGTGAAAATCTACTCTTAAATCTACTACTAAAAATCAAACAAACCACAACAACAACAACGACGATGACGACAACGAAACCATTGGCAAATCCTGACAAATATATAATATAATCAGATCCACCACAAGTGACATTGTCATTGGGTTCAACGCTTAAGCCGGATGACATTAAGGAAGGCGATGATGTTTACTTTGAATGTCATATCAAGGCAAATCCAAAGGAACATCGAATTACTTGGTCGCACAATGTAAGTAGATATATAGATTTTGTTGTAACAAACACACAGTGAGTGTAATAAGTATTTTGCCTCAATAAAAAATTGACAAAATTCTAATATATACGTTTAAAGCCTGCATACTAAAGATGTAAAATGAATTATGTATGATGGGATATGTTTGTGGACATATTTAGATCTTATTTCTGCAAGAATCACGGCGAAAGATCTATTGGTCTCGAAGATATCGGCCAAAATCTATACCAACCCAAAAATGATTATCACAAAAAAGTAATTTGCTTTTTATTATCATTTTTGGAAAAATCATTATATAACACACGTTTTGTCTTTTTATAGTTACCATTGCGGGTAACCACATACAAAAGCGATTTGGCGACGATTCCAATAAACCACTGAATTTGTTCGCGAATATTTTCTCACATTTACGTTCAATACATTCTCCAGCAATTTTTCATTTAATATATGGTAATTTCTCGACCTAATCTCAAAATGAGACTATTAGATATATCGCGAGGACAGGACCCTAAAAACTGTTAAAACCAAAATCCGACAAACAAAATATAAAAAGGAAATATCGCGAAACCCAATTTTTCAGACTTTGAAAACTTTATGGTCCATTAATATTGATCTAGGAACCAATATATGCGATGAAAATAGCAATAAGAAGGTCAGATTCTAAGATATGAACGGTTTTGTGGCAATAGAAATACATCAAATTTCGAAAACAAATAGATTGACCAGTTTATTCACTGATGCATTTTATTCGCAACTGATTGTGTTAAACGGATGTAAAATATTGAATGCGTCTTCGTCACCAGCTACCACAGTTTTTCAAAACGCAATAGTATTTGACGAAGAATGATGTTTTCTCCCAACTTCATGTACTGTTGGTAGTTTCTGTTGTTTTAGAACTGTTCATTTCTTTGAATCTGACCACCTTATTGCTATTTTCATCGCATATATTGGTTCCTAGATCAATATTAATGAACCATAAAGTTTTCAAAGTCACAAAAAGGGGGTTTCGCGATATTTTTTTAATAATTTGTTTGTCGGATTTTGGTTTTAATAGTTTTTAAGGTCCTGTCCTCGCGATTTATTTTGCAAAACCTCCTTTTTATTATTCTAAAGTTATTTGGGATGTTTTGAAGCCGCGACGACTATATCTAATACTCTCATTTTGAGATTAGGACGAGAAATTACCATATATTAAATGAAAAATTGCTGGAGAATGTATTGAACGTAAATGTAGAAAATATTCGCGAAAAAATTCAGTGGTTTATTGGAATCGTCGCCAAATCGTAGTTAGTATGTGGTTACCCGCACTGGTAACTATAAAAAGAAAACGCGTGTGTTATATAATGATTTTTTCAAAAATAATAATAGAAAGCAAAATACTTTGTTGTGATAATCATTTTTGGGTTGGTATAGATTTTGGCCGATATCTTCGAGACCAATATGTTTTTCGCAGTGATTCTTGCAGAAATAAGATCTAAATATGTGCACAAACATATTCCATCATACATAATTCATTTTACATCTTTAGTATGCTGGATTTGGGCGTATATATTAGAATTTTGTCAAATTTCATTTCATAAATGAAAAAAAAATTAATTATTTTATATGGGTGAGAGGAAGAATATCATGTGAACAATTTGATTCAATTACATTAATTATAAAATTGTAAAATTGTTATTTTCCAATGTCAATGAAATAATTCTATGTTTCATAGAATATAAAATTACATTCTCGTTCATGTAATTATTTACATTTATTTACAAAATATTCTCCTCCATTCCCATATAAAATTTATACAAACCTATTTCCATTGATTTAATAAAATTTCCTTTTATTTAAATTACAACATAACATCAATAAATATTTCACAAATTTTAACATTTATTTATATTTTGCGTTTGTGTTTTTCCCTCCGTCATCTATTTTTTCTCTTCCACTCTACAGGGTGTTCCTGTTACCCAAAATGTCTCCTGGGGTATTATAATTTCAACACGTTCACTGGTACTGCAACGTGTGGCTCGCGTCCATGCTGGACTCTATGCATGCTCGGCGGCCAACGACCGTGGCGAGACCACCAGTGCCATGGTGAATCTAAGGATACGCTGTAAGTAAATAAAAAAAATGAATAAATAATAAAATATTATTATGGTTTAATATGTTTTGAGGTTTGTTATATGCAATTGAAATGAAATTTAAAATATGTTATTTGGGGTATGTAAACCTGATGAAGTTTTAAATATGAATAAATTAAACCATTAAGGAAAGTAGTAAGGTCGGGCGGGGCTGACTATATTATACCCTTCACCACTTTGGGTATATTCAACAGATGAATCCTAACAGACGTCGAATTTTTGAAGGACCATTCATTTGGTCAGATATAGGGTTGCTTCTTACAATGGGACAAAATTATGTAAATCAGTTTAAAACAAAAAAAAATATATATATATATGTAAAACGATTTCATCACAGGTTAATTTATACTAATTTCAATATGTTGTGTGCATTTGGCCTAATTTTGAGTTCTTGGTGCATCATGTACTTAAAATCGGGAGAATATATATAGGAGCTCTATGCAAATCAGAACTGATTTCAAAAATTTCCGCACGCAAGGTTACCTTTGGGTCTTTGGTGAACCATTTACTTAAAATCGGACGAAAATATATATGGGAGCTATATCTAAATCTGAACCGATTTTTACAATACTTAGCACACGGTACGCTATACTAAATTCAGTACATTGTGCAAAAGTTTGTAGGAAAATATATATGGGAGCTATATCTAAATCTGAACCGATTTTCAGAAAACTTAACACACATCATTCTACACTCAATTCAGTACACTGTACAAAATTTCGTGCAAATCGAAAGATATATAGGGACTTTGGTACACCATTTACATTAAATCGAACGAAAATATATATGGGAGCTATATCTAAATCTGGACCGATTTCCAGGAAACTTCACACACATCATTCTAGACCTAATTCATTACGCTATGCCAAATTTCGTTCAAATCGAAATATATATAGAGACTTTGGTACACCATTTACCTTAGATCGGGCAAAAATATATATAAGAGCTATATATAAATCTGGACCGATTTTCTGGAAACTTAACACACATCATTCTACATTCAGTGCACTATACAAAATTTCGTGCAAATAGAAAGATATATAGAGACTTTGGTACACCATTTACATTAAATCGGACGAAAATATATATATGGGAGCTATATTAAATCTGGACCGATTTCCAGGAAACTTGACACACATTATTCTATACTTAATTCATTACGCTATACAAAATTTCGTGCAAATCGAAAGATATATAGGGACTTTGGTACACCATTTACATTAAATCGGACGAAAATATATATATGTAGCTCCCATATATTAAATCTGGACCGATTTCCAGGAAACTTAACACACATTATTCTATACTTAATTCATTACGCTATACAAAATTTCGTGCAAATCGAAAGATATATAGGGACTTTGGTACACCATTTACATTAAATCGGACAAAAATATATATAGGAGCAATATATAAATCTGGACCGATTTTCTAGAAACCTAACACACATCATTCTAGCCCTAATTCAGTACGCTGTGCCAAATTTCGTGCAAATCGAAAGATATATATAGGGACTAAATTTGAACCGATTTTTCCCAATTTCAATAGGGTTCGTCCTTGGGCCAAATAAGTGTCCTATACCAAATTTCATCCAATTTGGAACTTAATGCGACCTGTACTTTGTTTACAATTTAACATGGACAGACACCAGATGGACGGACATGCATAAATCGACTTAAAAAGTGATTCTGTGCATATTCTCAAAAGGAACCATGTGTATATCTCGTTTCCTTTTGCCTGTTACCAACATATGCACAAAAACATAATACCCTGTACCACAGTGTGGTGAAGGGTATGAATATGTATATGAATCAGTAATAAAATATTTTTTATTTGGGAGTTGTTATATGCAATTATTGTAATAAAATTTAAAACATATCCACATGGGGATTTTGATGAAGTTTTTAAAATGAATAATTTAAAATTAATGTTACAAAATTATCCTAATATTTTCTGCACTGGTACTTACCGAGTCCAACTTTTTGTACCCTCCATCTGAGATTCGTTCAAAACATCTAAAATCGATCGGGACCGGCAAAACGAAATACCAAATTACACACACACATAAGACCTCTTTAGGTAGGGACAATATAGAAATAGGGTCTTTTATCGAAAATGTTATTTGAAGACATTGTTTACTCACCAAAATTAGGATACCGAACATTGACCAATGTTGAGTTTTTTTTTCTTTTTCTTTTTTTTTTTTTTTTGTTGGAAAGCCTACAAAAGTCTTGAAAAACAGTTTTTCAAAAATTCAAGCCTTCGATAATTCTTGAAAAACAATTTTTCAAAAATTCGTGCCATGGATAATTCTTGAAAAACAATTTTTCAAAAATTCGCGCCTTCGATAATTCTTGAAAAACAATTTTTCAAAAATTCGCGCCTTGGATAATTCTTGAAAAACAATTTTTCAAAAATCCATGCATTTAATAGTCTTTAAAAATATTTTTAAAAAATTTCACCTTTCATAATCCTTGAAAAATAGTTTCCAAATTAAAATGTATTGTAGTTTCTATATCTGAAATATTTGTAAAATGTTTGATGCTATCCAACATTGGTATGTATTCGATTAGTTATGATTACAAAAAAGAAATATTTAATGGATTTTTCAAATTTTAACATTGCACTGTTTATTTTTTTTTTCATTCGAATTATTATTTCACAATTTCGTTGTTGTTGCTATTTCCATTCATAAAAATATACACATTTGAATGGATTTAAAATTGCATTTAGTGAGCTGTGTAGATTTTCATTAAATTATCGCATACCAATAACCTTCAACCAACTAGTATATTTTATATGTTGTTGTGTGTGTGTTTATGTGCATGCCACATATATAATTACCTTATTTAATAAATCAATTGGAAATGAAATTTATGAATGAATATATCAATATTCACATTTGTTGTTTTCACAACGAAAAATACATTTGAATTGATTTTCATAACGAAATTATTGTATAGATGTTTGGAAAATTTGTACAAAGGCTAGGCTATCGCAAGTTGTGGAGGGAGCTGAACTTCTATAACAGAAATCGTTGTTTTTAATTATCGAAAAAATATCATATATATATATATATATATATATATTATAAAATGTTGTAATAACATTTCAGATTTGTGGATTCGCATCGTAAGCACAATCCCTTGTGTGATAAGGGTTCGACATAATTATAATCCATCATTTTGTTTTAGAATGTCAATTCAAACACACATACAACATTTTTTGTGTAATTTGAGTAGCATGAATAGTTCTCAAGTTGTTCATGCCTTCTTTATTCCATCAAACTAAAAATCCCTTACAAAAATTATTATTGATTCAAAGATATTACCCTCACTTAACCTACATACATATGTCAGTAGCTTCATATTTACCAAAGCCATCATATTACACACATATACATATGTTTGTATGTAATACGGAATATTATTAATTATATATTTTTTGCTTCACCTTTCTCTCGCATACATAGTTCAGCTCAAACAAAGAGAAAAAACTCAAGCATTTTTATTGTGCTCTTGACCTTTCCCTTATAAAATAAAACTAATTGAAAGTAAATATTTCACAAAATGTTTGTAGTGCAGCAACAATATATGTTTGTGATAGTATGCATGTACCTTAACTACCATAAAAGAGCAACATATAGTTATTTTTTTACAAACTCTCTGTCCAATAAACACCGCGGGTCATACACCACACATCGACGGAGGGCAATCGCATAATACATCAAATATAACCAGGAGAATTGTTGCGATGATGAAACAAAATTGATAGCTGTCAGTTCAGAAGAGGCAAAATGATCGGGACGTCCATTAGTTGAGTGTGTGGGGTTAGCCAAGGAATAAGAGTAATTGATACCACACCTCCCACCATAATACACGATTATATTTATACTTATTATGGGAATATGTTGTTTATAGTTGATTTCTTCATTGTTGTTGCTGTTGGAAATCTATCAATAGATGATATCTTATTCAATTAGGAGGGTTTCGTTTTTCCTTTCTTCCTCTGTATTTCCTTTGTTACATTTGTATGAGTGTTCTATATTAAATTTCATATCTAATTAACAATCAATAAGGTTTGGGAGGTGTATGACCATAATAAGAAGGATTTGAGGGATTATCAGGGGCGGGCATAACGAAGGACCTAAAAAGGTGTCTTGAACGGATTATAAGTGGTTCTTAGTTTTTTTTTTAATATTTCATGGTTTATGATAGTTTAAAATCCCGATGGGACTTTTTTTAAGGATAATGTAGTCTTAGGTGTAGATTAAAAAAAAAATTGTTTAGGTTTGCCAGGGTCTTAGGCGTGTATTAAAAAAATCAGGGTCTTAGGCGTAGAATAAAAAATTGTAGGTTTGCCAGGGTCTTAGGCATGTATTAAAAAAGAAATCATAGGTTTGCTAGGGTCCTAGGAGTAGATATAAAAATATATTTTTCTAGGTTTGCCAGGGCCTTAGGCGTAGATTAAAAAAAAATATTTTTTTAGGTTTGCCAGGGTCTTAGCCGTTTTTTTAAAGCATAGTTTTGCCAGGGTCTTAGGTATTAATAGGTTTGCCAGGGTCTTAGGCGTAGGTTTAAAAAAAAAATATTTTTTTAGGTTTTCCAGGGTCTTAGTTGTAGATTTTTAAAAAATATTTGTTTTTTTATACCCTTCACCACACTGTGGTACAGGGTATTATGTCTTTGTGCATATGTTTGTAACAGGCAAAAATAATCGAGATAGACCCAGGGTCGTAGGCGTAAATTTAAAAAATATATTTTTTTAGGTTTGACAGGGTCTTAGCCTTTTTTTAAAGCATAGGTGTGCCAGTGTCTTAGGTATAGATTTAAAAACGTCATAGGTTTGCCAGGGTCTTAGGCGTAGGTATTTAAAAAATATTTTTTTAGGTTTTCCAGGGCCTTAGTTGTAGATTTAAAAAAAAAAAATATATATATATATATATATTTGTTTTTATACCCTTCACCACACT